CATGCCAAAAATACATCACTCAGGATGGCACCAGTAGTCAGTTTTCTTCTTTAAATCAACTGTGAGAGAAAGGCTTATTAAATAAAGTGGTTTTGTATTTGCTCCAGGTATGAATTTACAGTAGTGTCTTTTCTTAGAAATGCCACATGTGCCATCCTCAGGACACCAAATAAAACTTCAGATACAGCTGATGTTAAAGTATCTACAGTGTAAGAACAGATATACAGTATTGGTTTCTGGTATTCCCCATCATCATGCTAGAGAGAGATGATGGTTCCTACTCCACAGAGCTCAATCTAAAGATTAATAGAAAAAGACTAATTAAATGAAAAATGACAAGCAAAGGGGCCAAGGTGATTGGACGTATCTCCATACTACTATGTTTTTGATAATGGAATGTGTGTTTTGTAGATTTTCCCCAATTGCCTACTAGAATTGAGTTGATTAAATAATAGCATGGTTGCGGGGTATCATGGCAGAAATGAGTCTGCATTCATATCCCACCTGAAGGGAAGGTAGTAACTTCCAGACCAGTACAAGTAAGTACAGAGCCTGATCAACATTTAAAAGCTTAAGTCGGTAAAAGTAGTGTGCTCAGGGGTGTAAAAAAATCCACACCTGAGTGCTGTAACTACACCAGCGTAACCGAAGCATAGATGCAAAACAGGTCAACAGAAGAATGCTTCCTTCAACCTAACTACCATTGCTCAGAAAGGCGGTGTTCCTACAGTGACGGAAAACCCCCTTCTATTGCTATAGTCTGCATCCACTCTACAGGGGCATAGCTATGGCACTGCAGCACCTGTAGACATGGCCTCAGAGTCTGTCCAAATCCTGGCCTACTGTTCTCTTCACCATAGAAGCAAAAAGTTCCCCTGATGACTAAAATGAAAAGCTGCACATTTACTGTACCTTTACCAGCTGTCCCCAATCACAGCTATTTTTACAACACAGTGGCATTAGTATTCTTGAGCCTGTAACCATAATGCTCTAGGATTCCCAATTATTAAACAAAAAGGAGTGTATTTCTTTTCATGCTCTCAACTATCTGCAAGTACTGCAACCTTTCATTAATGGGGATTTTTTAAATAAAAGTTAACTTTATTAACAGCAACACTAGTGTCTTCCTGGACAAGAGAATAAAGCAGATAATCTGCCATAATCACTTTTAAAGATATCAATTTTTTAAAAGTTATATTCATACAGAATTAATCCAATAGGACCAAAAAATAACTTCTCTTAAGACCACTGGAAGAAAGCATTTACTTGTACTTTTATTGTGTGAAATTCAGCTGCAGAAATAGAAGTGACTTTAAATTTGCTAAGAGACTGTTCTTAGATACAATATGAAAAAAGATGTTAAAAAAAAAGCTAATGAAAATAATTTCTACCCTTTAACAGATTCCAAAATACTAACTGGTAAAGAACATCCTACCAACATGGGTAGTTTACTGGTTGCCCACACACATTCTCCTGTTGCTTTAACTGAACATCATATTCCTCACTTCTTGTGCCTAAGCTGTTTGGGGTTGCTGACTCTGTTACAATAGCTGCCACATTTCATGTAGTCATGCTGGTGTATTCTAGTAATGGGTGATAGTTTTCTTGTATGTGTATGGTAGTTCTATAAAGCACTTTGTGGTATTTACTGACAGTACATGCCATCTTTCACAGGCCTCACTTTTTTTCTGGCTTTTCAAGGCTATTTTGTTTTTGAAGTATAGATGATTTAAGCTATTTTGGTTTTGTCACTTCTCTCTGGTAACAGATAGTATCCAACATCACTCCTTATGTTATCAACTTTTTCCAGTTAATGCACAAGTTCCCATAACAGACCTATAAAAACATCAGCACTGCATAGTGTAAAATTTTCAAATACACCTCTACCCCGATAGAGCACTGTCCTCGGGAGCCAAAAAAAATCTGACTGCGTTATAGGTAAAACCGCGTTATATCGAACTTGCTTTGATCTGCCGGAGTGCACAGCCCCGCCCCCCCAGAGCGCTGCTTTACCACATTATATCCAAATTCGTGTTATATTGGGTCACGTTATATCGGGGTAGAGGTGTACATACAACGTATTGTTACAGAGGAAAAGCCAACGCTGTCACCAGTGGTGTACAATAGCATCTTGTTAATGTGTCTTCTTTTAGATGAAAAATTTAAAACTATGAGTAATCTGTTACTGTATATATTTTCCATGAACCTGTACCTCAGAACCAAGGCAGACACTGCTTTGAGGGACAAAGAAAAAGAAATAAATCATCTGTACACTGGGTGGTAGGGTTGCTATATTTTAGGTACAAAAAGCGGGGACATTACAGATTTCCTGGGACAGCTACCTAAAAAGGGGATGACCCTGGAAAACCTGGATAGGGGCAACCCTCCTTGGTGAGGAAGAACCCAGAAGAGAATGACTTAGGAAAAACAAGGAATTCTTCTCCTAAACCGACTTGTCCAATACAAACTGGGATCTCAAATCTGGTTGTCCTAGAAGAAAAATGACTGTCCTTCCCTCAGGCTTAATATCCTGATATGATCTGCCTAGCACTTGTGTAGCAAAATATATCAGAACTGCTCCTCTGTCTCTTCTCCACTAATGAGCCCATGCTGTTGTTTGGAAAGTGCATTTGGCTAATTATGTGTGTGATCTAGCCACACAGCACAGCATGAGACACAACTGCTCCAAGGAAATGGAGACAAGAAGTCATTATTTTGACCCTATAGCAAGATTGCACTGGTACGCCACTGCACCCAGAATTTTTAAGTGCAGGTCAGAAAGTAATTAAAGATATCATTTGTCCATACCAACTTTTTGGTCATCTGGAGAATAAGATTTTTTCCTAGTTTACCATTTTCCTATTTTTTCATAGCAATTTTTAAAATTGAAGTAGTACATATTCCTCAAAAGTTTATTGGAGAATAAAGGCTCTATCATGTATGGTGCCAAGAGTCTTCCAGAAGCTGATCAGGGATCCTAGGAAAGACGTTTTTTTCAATTGACATAATGGGAATTATTATTCTGGCTTCCATTTTTCTTCAATAATACTTCACAAGCAAATCATATTTTAAAGAAACGATTAATGCTCACCCTTGAATTTTTAAAAGAATTTTGTAACTGTTTCTTAAAACTGGCTCTGATATAGGCCGACAAGATTTAACATTAGATGTTGGAGTGACAGTGTCATTTTAAAATAAAAATATGGTACTAGGTCTTATGAAAAGGCACAGGTTTTGAGAAAACAGCTGAACATTTAAAAAACAATTTATATCTTATCTGGCAGAATTTGTGGTCGTGGTTACAGATCATTTGAGAATTCTTTGTAAACTACTAATTTTAATATCCAGCTAGACCACCTCCAAAACAGATCCGGGTGGCACTCTATGTGCAAAGAGGCCACAACACTTTGGGATTTGCCAGAAGGATTAAGAATTTTAATATAATTGGCTAAGCGCTGAAGCTATTACTTTTGTCTACACATGGACACTCAGGAAAGTTAAGCAAAAATTAACTGAAGGAGTGAATTTAAAAATGCATTAGTTAAACTGCATTAAACTCCCGTGTAGATACACTCATTCAGAAAAGTGATCTCAGTTCACTAATGAAAGTAAATTAAGGCCACTACACTTGTGAATGAAAGCTTCCACCCAGGGGTTTCACGTGCTTTTGGTTCAGCTTTCCTGTATTACCCTGTGTAGATACGCCCTTTCACTTTTGATCATTTGTCACAGAGCGTTCCACTGCTGTCAGTTTTAGGGACAAGGAAGTTAATTCAGCATAGAATAGGGTGTGAATTTCAGATGGGATCATTAATCCCAATTAATTCCCTAGGAATAGTTAAGCCAGAGTAACTCTCGGTATATACAAAACCATAGAAGAGCTCATGTCAAAATTTCACTTGCCAGCATTAAATGTTTCCAACTAAACATTAAAAAGTTTTAAACAGATGCAGTAACTAAGTATTAAAATACTTCCCAAAAATATAGGCTTACAGCTCCAGAGCTAACAAATATAAAAATGAGGAAAAACAATTGAGTAATTCTGCAAAAGTACAAATCTATAGAAAATAGACACTTTGCAACTGCAGAAGCTACACTGGGCAAAGTGGGTTACTAAGCATCCTGAAATTTTGGTTTCACTTCAGAGAAACATTTTTTTAGAGTTCACAAATTACAAGGAGCTCGAGCCCAGTCTATGCCCCGGGAAGTCACACAATGGAAACACCATCCGACCAGCCCACTTTACTTGACTAGGGATGCAAACAGCAGAAAAAGAAATGAACGTTTGCGTTAGACACAGTTGTACAGACGGACTCTTCCCCGTGTACCCCTCTACTGCCTTACAGCTTATGGAGTCGCTTCTTCTTTACACTGGTGGGAGGAACTGGTCCTTCACTGTCCAAACCGATTCCTCTAGAGATTTAAACCCCACTGAGGCAGCACAGAAAGCGGCTGGAAACGTGGCTAGGGAGCCCTGGGCCGCCTGTCAGAGCGGGCCCCGCTCGGGGGAGGAGTCACTGCCTGGCCGGGGAGCCCGGGGACGGGACGTGGGGGAGGTGGGTGACTGCCTGGGTCGGTATCGCGCAGTCCCACGTGGCTTAGGTTGTGCGCTGTGTCCAGCGGTCTCCGGGGGGGGGGGGGCGCAGCGAGTGCTAAAGGCGGGCGGGGGCGCGCACCCCGGGCCCCTCGTGGGAAGCAGAGAGAGAGCGGGGAGGCTGCGCCCAGCTCTGCCCCGGCTCGGAGCGTCCCTACAGCGGGACTCGCTACGGCCGATCTCCGAGCGGGCCCCAAACTGCCCCCCTCAGCAGAGAGGAGGGGCGGCGAGAGCGGGGGCAGCTTGCGCCGGGCCCCTGCGCAATCCGAGCCCGGGACAGCCGGGCAGCCCCGATGGCCGCTCCCCCGCCCGCCATGGAGAAGTCCGAGGCAGCGCAGGACCCCGAGCAGCCGGTCCCGCAGGACTTGCCCCCCGCGCCCACACCCGCAGGCAGCGCCGCCCTTACCTCCTGCGCGGGGACTAGGGGCCGCCTGCTGCCCGGGCTGAGCTGGACCCGCTGCGCTCCCGGCCCGAGTTTGCGTCTTCCCTGCGCCTGGACTGGCGGAGACAAAGCTACACCCTCCCGGGCCGCTCCTCGCCCCCGCCCCTTCTTCCCTTCCCGGCGCGGCGCGGCGCGGCGCTCGCCTCCCCCGCCTCGCAGCTGGGGCGGGGAGCAGGGCTCCGGGGAGTTAATGAGCGGCCCCGCCCCAGCGAGTGACCCTCCCCTGCCTTGGCCTGTGCCCCCTAGCACCGCGTCCGGACGTCGCCTGCCCCCCCCCCCCCTTCAGCTGGGAACGAGCTCACCAGCTCAGGGCTCAATGGGCCACGTGAAAACCCCGCCCCATCTCCCCAAGCAGCCACACGTCGGCTCTGGGCTCGCCTAGGAGCCAGCCCAGAGCCCGTCCAGTTAACCTGACTTTGATCAACTATAATACATCTATCGATAGCTGTTCTGTACAGACCACAAGAGCAGTCTGCTGTCCCGTCGAATGGCAAGTTAGGTGTTTGAGTGCCAGTGCCTTCGAGTTAGCAACCAGAAACAAAGGCACAGGAGTACTGAAGGTAAGGAAAGGTTTTAAAAATTATTAAGCTCCTGGAGAGTAAAAATTCAGGTTTCTGAAACACAAATTGTAATGGAACATACCATTCTAAACAAAGGAATTTGTCAGGAAAAAACACCAACTCAACGCTATCAAGAGGACCTTGGAGTTGGAGTTCCTTGCAAATCAGCTTTTTTCTAAGCTTAGAAAGTCAAAACAACAAGATCTACAAATTACTGTATCAGCAGAACCAGCTATTAAGTTTTATATGCAAAACACAAAGATAATTTGAACAAGAGAAAAATTCTTTCTCCAATTTCTGTAATGTCTTACTTTTTAACAAGCACAGTTATTCAGCAATAAACAATTCCCATCATCAGGCAAATGTAGGTAATTACGGAGTATCATTCCTGTAAAGGTTCCAATTGCTTTGTGCCGAAGAGGAACATTTTGATGCCTGGATGAAACAGCCTGGCATGGTTTTCTGCCTTCTTTCCATGTCCCCTTCTGTGAGGCACTAAAGATGAAAGTGAGCCAACAAAGGGAGATTCCCTACCCTTTAGAACAGCCACAGGCAAGGAGATAAAATTCCACAGTCAAATAAAAAAGTTTAATTTCTAGCATAATGGATGTGGCTAGAGAGAAATTGGGTGGTAGATAGTTGCAGTGTTTCTGAAAGAGAAACTGTCTACAACAAGTTTCAGAGTAGCAGCCGTGTTAGTCTGTATCCGCAAAAAGAACAGGAGTACTTGTGGCACCTTAGAGACTAACAAATTTATTAG